AGCAGGAATTCTGCCAGGTTAAGTAATGATTTTTTTTTTAGTTTTCCAGGGAATTCAACTATACTGTCAATAACCTAGAGAGGTTTAAAAGTTATTTTTGCAACATTAAAAGTGAAATTTTCAAAATTCAGCATAAGCTTTCAAGTTACTCTGCAGAGAGCAGTCTTTTCTAAAAAAAAAATTATACACATTTTGGAAAGCTAGGTATAAATTCACTGAATGACATGACTCTGTTCAGTGCGTAATGCTCTCCACACCCTTTTCAGGGGCAGAAAGATCTTTGGCAGACACAGCACACTCCCATAAGGTCTGGCACATCACTGCCTTTGACACAGGTATTGCAGCAAATGCCATCCTACAAGTGTCATCCTCCACTTTGAGCCTGACATTTACCTCACCAGCAACTACAGTAAGACTCTGGTGATTGAATAAGCAGCCAGAAAATCACAGGTGAGTTTAAGATTTGCAGAACCCTGGGCTTCAGAAGGAGTCTTAGAAGTGCATTTGCCTGAAAGGATGTAACAACTCCCATACACCAATATACAGCCAAGCAAAGGGATTTAAGGCTTAAAAGTTGAATTCAAAACTAGCAACTTTGGCCCAATTTTTGGATCACAGTTTAGTAACACTTACTGGTTGCCATTTCACTAAGCATGACTCATATTTTGTTTGACAGGGCAAGAACCACTTAAAACATAGCCATGCTTTCCAATTTAAATTTCAAGCATCTAGTCCTGAAGAGAGTTGAATTTCAAGGAAACTCAGGCTCCCAGTTTGAGACTAAGGTAGATGCTTACACTACAGAATATGAACAATTCTGTGCATTGTGTCCATACAGAGGCATTCATCAACCCCTTGAGGTGTACTTAGCCCAGCCTACCTGCCCAAGTATTTCCCCAGCTTTTTTGAGTAGGTTCTGCCACATGATCCAAAACCTGCACCACCTTCAGCAGGTTGTTGTGTGAATTTACCCCCAAATAACTCCCTACCACAAAGCTTCATAGCTGCAATTGGTAGAATTCAGCACTAGCACCTGGGATGGCCAAAGAAAGAGGACACTAGTGTGATCAGCAAGATACTCTCCTCAAACCAGCTAAACTACAGTACCCATCTGAAGGTTAGCAGAGCTTTCCTGTCCATGGTAACAAATAAATCCCCTCTCCACAGCTGTACTACACAAGTTCTTATTTTTCCTAACACATAGTGAACACCTTATCTCTCTGAAACTACTGGAAGTCTGGAAGCAAGACCTCTGGAAGTGATCTTAGCTTTCCACAGCAGCATGCACAGACTTTATGCACTCTGTAGACAGTGGTAACCCAGCAACGCCCATGGGATTTTTGCTGGAACCAAGGGCTGCTGGACCAACCCAGCAGAGCACACAGCAGCTCTCCAGAAGAGCAGCAGAGCCAGCATCTAAATAACAAGCCTGCAAGCTCATTTATAAGACTTGGGCACAGAGTCATCCTGTTTTGTGCCAGCATTTTTCTAGGGGAGCCTGAAGGGGACAAAAAGGGCACAAGAAGGTTGGAGTCAGCCTGGCAACCCTGCTTGCTTTAGAGGTTGCTTTGGCTCCCAGCCATAGCACTGTGCCACCCCACCCCAATAGAGAGCAAAGCCAGCAGCCTTGGGCTCAGTGATAATAGTCCTCACTTTACAATCCTCCTCCATTCCATTCCTTCTGACAGAAAAAAATGAGCATTTATTGGAATTAAACCAAACCCTAACAGCTAGAGGGACAATTGCCATCCTGAAGAAATACTAGATCCATGCACATTTCCTCAAGTTTTGACACTGGACAATTCTATCACCACAATAGAAGCCATCAGAGATGCTTCTGTTTATCCCAGCATCCCTAAACAAGTGGGAGAACTCCCTTCCACATCCTATAGATGTTATCTCTATACTTCATAGTTGATTTTTTTAAGGAGAAAGTGACCCAGATGCTGAACCTGTTTATAGCTATCCCCATCCTGTAGGCTAAATGTTTGACTTTAGAGGACAAAACTGACCTCAGAGCACTTCAGACACTTCTGTTTCAGGCCAGATGTTCACTTTTCCTGCTATTAGAAGATGGATTCTTTTAAATTTTATTTTTGCAATCTTAGAATCAAGAGACCACATATACCTCAATGACCTGTACAGTTCACACGGTGGCAGATGAAAGCCTGTTCTGGCAGAGGCTGTTGGAAAGCATACAGGATGGTGAAGTTCTTTCCAAATCTACACAGAGCTAGTTAGCTGAAAGAGAGTCTGAGCTGGGAAGAAACCCAAGGCTGCTCTTCTCACCCTCCTTTTATGTAGAGTAGGCTGCTGGGCACTCACACTTAAGTCACCTGGGTGACACTGATCCCTCTCCTGGCTTCTGCTTTAGGCTTCCTACTTTAAATGGCTGTCTCCTTCTCTTCATTTGGGAGCATGCTGCAAGCTCCACAATTTATCTCATCACTGTCTTTAAAGCATTTTAGTGTCTATGTGATGTTACATAATTGTTCTGGCTTGGAAAAGCACCCAGCTCACTCTGGGCCAAACTCCACACACCTTTCTGACTCAGCCTGAAGCCCAGAGGGACTAGAACTCTCAAAGTCAGTCAGTGTGGCCCCTAGTAGTTCCAGGCTGCACAACTGAAACAGGTTTTAAGTGAGGAAAAGAAAAAGCAACAATGCATTTAGCAAGACTATGACACTAAATGATCTTTAGCAGAAATAAAAAGCCAAGTTATATCAGCCATATGCAAGTGACTCACCCTGTAACATGGAGAGTTTTGCTCAAGTAAGGACCACAAAGTGTGGCCTGTGCAGCTCATGGGGAGAGTTCAATAGAGCAGTGCAGCCAGTACACATAAATAATGGAGGAGTCTGAAAGAGCTACTATGACACTCAAGTTTAAAGTAGAACAATGCTAACACAAGTGGAACAGTTTTCTTCAGCTTTTCCTCAGCAACCCATTCATTTCACCAGAAGTTTAAGTGCTTATAAAGAACAGAAATCTCAATAGCTTTTACATTTTATACTTGCCAGAAGGTTTTTTCCCCACTCCACATGGATTATATCTCTTACACTCCAGTTATGTCTCTTATACAGCAGTTACCTCAAACAATTAAAGTACATGGAAAAAATTCACCTATATGTATATAAATGATACATTTCTACAGACACCCCTGTGCTATTCAGTAAGCAATGTTGCAGTACACCAGAACTTTCTATATTTATTTATAGCCCTCTTACCTTTAGCAACAGGTCTGATGAGAAGGGAGATCCTTATGAAAATGCCTGTACTGTCAGGAAAGCCAACCAAACTACAAGCCTTGAATCCTGCCTCTGCTCTCAGACAGCTGTTTAAATATAGTAGGCTACCAGCAGTCAGAGAGGAGAGGAGGGGCTGAAATGAATGGAGGTGGAGCAAGGAAAATACTTATAAGCATGAGTCAGCAGGA